ACTGTTATACAAGCTGTACACTACTTTACATTGGAGCAAAGTGTCATTTCTTCAGTGTTGTCACATGAAAAGATATAACAAAAATTTGAGGGGTGTACTCACTTCTGTATAACTGTACTGATACTGTATAAGAGAGGCTTTAAAAGGGTCGCCTATAGAAAATATAAGGTACTGAAGTTTGTCGCCATTTCACGGGCGCATGCATATTTAAGGTTTGACATGTTGGATATCTCTTTACTCAATGGAACCTCACCTTTTATATTTTATAAAAAATATAAGGGTAATTTATTGCTTTTTGTGCCCTAAAATTAATTTGTGTATTTTTTACTGAAATTTTGCATTTCCTAGACCTTTGCAATAATATTGTGCGACATAAAAAAATTGGAACTACCACTATTTTATTCTCTAGGGTCTTTGCCTTCAGAAAATATATAATGTTTGAGGGTTTTGTGTAATCTTCAAGCCTAAAATAATTTTTTAAACGTGTGCAAAAAATGCAAAAATGGCTCTGGCATCAAAAAGGAAAAAGGATAAGCCCGACACTTCCCTTCCCTGACGAGCACCCAATTAGTCATAGAGCCCCTTTGGATTTTAAAAGTCCCAGAATTTCCTAAAACCTCAGATTTAAATATGGTTTTAATTAAAATTGCTTATTTTTTTTATCAGGACAAGTAGATTGTCATTCGGGACAAGTAGATTGGGACACCGATTTAGTTCCTGGATCTGGACAAGTAGTTTTTATAAAATTTCCACATCCCTGAAGTCGGATCAAAGCAATACTCAAGTCACCAGCAAATCGTCAGGTCACAGTAGTGTGAACCGACATTTACAATCACTTCAAAGTCAGGACATTGAGAGTTGTTTTGGGGTAAAAGATATTAAAATCAAATGAGGAATGGCTATATGCAGAGAAACCATGGTCATATCACCAAAGATGAAAAAATATGAGTTTGGCTGCTCACATGAGTTGTGGAAAAAAAACCTATTCACCCCAGATTTTTTTTTAAATTTATTGAGAAATCCTCTTGCATTGTTGGTTATTCTGTGCAGAGAGAAACTAACTTTCTACACATTTCTTTGCAGATATCTAGGATTTTTCCACTCGCCAAGTGTGAGGGAAAATTCCTTTGTGGCGAGCACAGATGGAGCAGGTGGCTTGCAATGGAGTGGGTGGCTTGCAATGCGATCCGCAGGCCCCGCTGATCGATTTGCGTTCCACTTGCGCTCCAAGCCTCGTTGTGAAGCCGACTGCTGGTTTCCGACTTCCGGTTTCTTCTTTGCCGCCGCGGGGGGACATGAGGCCAGCTCTCCACCACTTTGGGGGAAAATGACTTCTGTATGGCCAGCTTAAGGTGAGCTGCTTGCATGCACACTACAGGTCATTACTCATTGTCACAGTTACAATGGAGCACCACTCATTTGTTTGGAGTTTTGTATAGAGAGAGAAAGGGCTAGAACTTATGTATTTCACTGTTGTCTGTGTCTGGCCTGGTGAGATTACAAAGACTAGGAAATTGGGTACAATGCCCCACCATTTACACTGTTTTTGCCAACATCCTAAATATTGAAACAGACAACTATGGAAATATCCCTCTGGGATTTTGAAAGGCAAAAAAAGTGTGTACACAGGTATAAAACAATAAATGTTTATTGCAAAAATAATTTTTTGATAAAAAGAATCGAAAGAGGTTGAGAGGTTGAGCTGCAGTACAACAATGTATGACTTAAAAGTAGAAAACATACACTGTGTGCATATCCTGACAGTTTGTAATTATTACAGACTGTCCGGATATGCACACCATGTATGTTTTCTACTTTTAAGCTTTAAGGGGGCGTGGTTGGGGGCAGGGCTGGGGGCGGGGTTGGAGGACTGGCCAGGGATGGGGTTGGAGGTGGACCTGGGCAAGGTTGGGTGGGGCAACTGCTGGAGAGTAAGGTTTGTGCCTGGCTAGTAGGTCTAGACTCGAAATTTTAAGCCCTGGGACATCAATAGACATGTATTTCAGTTTTTCATGCATAAAAAAAAGGAAATAAACATGTAAACATTTTTATTGGCAGTGCCTAAATCTATTTCACCAAAAGCATTGAAAAGCTACCATTCTGAATTACATATGTTAGGAGCATGAAAGTTACTGTTATAGGATAAAAACAAAATTATAGAGATTACATCAGGTTATGCATACACATGAAATGGCATGGCATAGCACAACTGATATATTGGCATGACTGAAATAATCTTTGTGAGCATCTGGATCACAAAAGAGTGGGAAGGGGACAACGATGGCCTTGTTTAGGCAGTAACGGAATGTGGGGTTGACCTGCACTAGAGATCTCTCCTCTACCTACATAAATGTAATGTTAAGCTAAAAGGTACTTGCATATATGTTGAATTTAAAAGCCAGGGATTGCAGTCTAGGAACTAACAGGCCCATTTAAAGATTTAGTAACTTACTCTTAAAACAGTAGTAAAACATTGCTCGGTGACTTGTACCTCGGTGAATTGCATACATGCATTGTTTAGGAGATATTCACTATTTCTGCAGCCAGTGGCATCACCAGCGCATGCGCCCTGTGCTCTGGAAGTACGCAAGTATGCAGCCCTTCAGAGTGCTATGCTGCGATCATGGCTCCTGTGCACATGTGTGGAATTTAATTCATTGTTGTTCAGTAAAACATTTGGAGCCTGTGAACCTAGAAGGAAGACCGGGTGAAGATGGAGCCCTGCCAGAGATGACAGCGCATAGCTTGAAGACTTTGTTTTAAGGCAATTCATTCACAATGTGCCAGTATGCGATGCATACTAGCACATTATGCCCTTAAAGAGGAACTCCAGTCTCCTCCCAAAAAATACTGTAGCGGCAGACTTTTAATATAGAACATTTACCTGCCCAGGGATCCAGCGATCTTCTCACCCGAGCCGATTCTTCAGTCGGCTTTGGGTGCAGGCACCGACACCTTAGGTAAGGGAAACCAGCAGTGAAGTCTTTTTTGGCTTCAAAGACATTTATGTACTATGCATGCGCGGGCCACGCTGTGGTTTGTGAATGGTCCCGTAGTCTTCTGGGACCTGTGAGGTGTCCCAGAAGGCTGCAGGAGGGAGGAGAAGGGGGCCAAACTTCCACAGAGATCGTCGCGGTGATCTGACTGGCAGTGGGAGTGGGTGCCTCTAAAACCTGGTACCCACTCCCCCCACTTCCCTAAAAGTACCAAATATGGCAATGAAGGTGGGTGAGGGATGTTGGTTGAGGATGCAAAAAAAGCAGAACTTCCGCTTTTGGCTCTGTTGTAACTTGCAGGGGCAAGGATTTTTTTTTTCTTTAGACTTTACTACTTCTTTAGCCCAACTCTATTGAAATGCCTAAAAAGCATCAGCATCCACTGTCAATATGACCCAATGCTAAAACTAACCTGTGTAAACCTAGGACCATTACACCAAATCATAAAGCATATCTAATTTTTTTTTTTTTTCTTTGCTGTTTTTTTTTCTTTTTTTTAGCTTTGGACAGAGTACAGAATGATTACAACTTGGTTAGCGTTTTGGCATTTGTCTCATTGGGAAGAATTACCTTCACCTCCTATCTCACAGGCACAGAAGTGACAAAAAATGTTTCCAAAGTAAGGGACATCTCCATAGACAGTTCTTAACAACACAAATTGGCATCCCCAATGGAAGATTTTTACCCCTATTAAGCTTTTTTAGATTTTTCCTCACTTTCATAAAAACAAATAGAGATGGTATTTCTTCCCACTGGGGACTCTGACAACAGCCTGAAGGGCGCCAACTCTTTCCTAATCTATACACAGTAAATATATTATTACACACTGCCCCATAGGCAAAAAAGTGCTTCAAACTGAAAAATACTGATCTCATCGCTCCCGGCAGCTGCTATTCTAAATGATGTAACCATCACCAATCAAGACTAATAAATATGGAACAGTGCTACCTGCACTAAAGCCACAACACCACAATATATGTCACTTACATAAAAGTGCAATGTGCAAAACTACAACATCTATTCTGCATAAAATACTCTCCAAAAATATTCTTATAGCGTGCATAAAAAAAATATACAAATTATATATAACATTGCCATATACTAATTTAAGTGCAATGTGCTCAAAAAAGTGCAATAAAATAATCGACATTTTACAATGTGGGTTTTATACAATAAATTAGCCTGATGGTTTTACACTGTGGAAGCTCCCCTCTTCTTTTCCTTTTGAGCGAGTGAGAGATATGAGTCTGCTGTTCTGAGAAGCCTGAGGCTATAAGACAGTGAGACTCCCAGGGCAACATGCTGGTTTATGATTTGACTGAAATCTCTCTGGTGAGTTCATTCAATTCATTTGGTGGTGGAATAGCACTAGTTTGGGGGTGTTATGAGAAGATTCAAAAGTTTACTTTTCACTGGTGGACTGTTTTATAGTTTTTATATATTCAATGGACACTATAATAAATAAGGAGTTATATGATATTTGCATTCAAATAAGTTTGAATATGGTCACTTGCACAGTGATTTTTTTGCCCTTTTGATCCTCTGCACTGAATATTAGCATGTTGATTATTTATTGCACTTTTTTTTTTTTTTTTTTGAGCATTGTATGCAGAATAAAAGGTTGTGATATTGCACTTTTATATGAGTGACACATATTGTGGTGTGGTAGTTTTAGTGCAGGTAGCACTGTTCCATATTTATTAGTCCTAATCTATACAAAAAAACTTAAAATCTTACTTAAAAATGTGTGTGTCAGTCTAAAGTTGCAATTTTCTGTTCTTACTTTAAAGGTGTGTCTCAGTCACTACAAAATACTGAATATAAAATACTGAATATATCAAGCAAAATTCTAATTGTGGTGTTCTTTAAATCTTCTTAGGAATTAAGAGTGAAAGCTCTGATTTACTAATGCCCATTATCCCAAGATGTATTGTGTCATGATAACAAGACATTCCTCCCTTCAGTATAACGATGTGGTATAGTGATGTTAAGGTAAAACAGTACCTGCAGTGATGAGCCCTGTCCGGCTTGATGCTACAACATTTCGGACACTTGTAAACCACCTGCCCTGGTTTCAACTGCAAGCTTTCAATGAAAATTCCTTTGTGGCATTTCCTTTGGGTACAGCACCCTAAAATAAATGCATTCATCACATACTTTGTAACTATACATACAAGGTAGACAAATAAGTAGAAAACTCAATGTGAAGCCAGTCATTCCAGGCTAAAAGCTATAAGAAACATTTAAAGCGGATCTTTATCCCCACCAAATTATTTTTTTAACCCCTGCTTACCAGGTTGTGGGTTCTGCACAGTTTAGATACTCACCCACCCAGTTGATCCTTTCCTACTGAGATTATCTTCTCTTCTTCCACTGCTCAGGTTTGTATCGCCATATTTTAGTGTGATGTCATTGTGAGGCTGCCAGCTCTTCTGTGTTCAGCCAGCGGGCCTCCCAACGATGTGCCATTAGGCACAGCCCCTTATCCCTTTCTGAATGAAAGCCCATGCCTCCTGAGATATTTGGCATGCATATCCCAGGAGGCACAGGGCACACAGTGCACACCATTCGCCTAGGCAAGTTTTGTGCACGGTGGCAGGACCAAAAATAATAAACGGATTTAAAAAGTGGGGAAAAAAAATAGCAATGTTTTTGTAACGGAGGAGGGAACTTTGTTTTGAAGGGGAAGATCCACTCTATGGAGCAAGGGATTATATACAGTGCATCCAGAAAGTATTCACAGCGCTTAACTTTTGCCACATTTTGTTATGTTACAGCCTTACTCCAAAATGGATTAAATTAATTTTTTCCTCAACATTCTACAAACAATACCCCATAATGACAACGTGAAAGAAGTTTGTTTTGAAATGTTTGCAATTCATTAAAAATAAAAAAACCCACATGTACATAAGTATTCACAGCCTTTGCCATAACACTCAAAATTGAGCTCTGGTGCATCCTGTTCCCACTGTTCATCCTTGAGATGTTTCCACAACTTGATTGGAGTCCACCTGTTGGAAATTCAGTTGATTGGACATGATTAGGAAAGGCATAAACCTGTCTGTATAAGGTCCCACAGTTAGCAGTGCACGTCAGAGCACAAACCAAGTCATGAAGTCCAAGGAATTGTCTGTAGACCTCCGAGACAGAATTGTATCAAGACACAGATCTGGGGAAGGGTACAGAAAATTTTCTGAAGCATTGACAGTGGCCTCTATCTTCCGTAAATGGAAGAAGTTTGGAACCACCAGGAATCTTCCTAGGGCAGGCCCGGACAAAATGAGCGATTGAGGGAGAAGGGCCTTAGCCAGGGAGGTAACCAAACACTCAATGGTCACTCTGAAAGAGCTCCAGCGTTTCTCTGTAGAGAGAGGAGAACCTTCCAGAAGAACAACCATCTCTGCAGCACTCCACCACTCAGGCCTGTATGGTGGAGTGGCCAGACAGAAGCCACTCCTCAGTAAAAGGCAAATGGCAGCCCACATGGAGCTTGGCAAATGGCACCTGAGGGACTCTCAGACCATGAGAAACAAAACTCTCTGGTCTGATGAAACAAAGATTGAACTCTTTGGCCTGAATGCCAAGCATCATGTCTGGAAGAAACCAGGCACCACTCACCCCCAGAACAATACCATCCCTACAGTGAAGTATGGCGGTGGCAGCATCATGCTGTGGGGATGTTTTTCAGCGGCAGGAACTGGGAGACTAGTCAGGATTGAAGGAAAGATGAATGCAGCAATGTACAGAGACATCCTTGATGAAAACCTGTTCCAGAGCGCTCTGGACCTTAGACTGGGGTGACGGTTCATCTTTTAACAGGACAACGACCCTAAGCACACAGCCCACATAACAAAGGAGTGGCTACTTACTAACTCATGAATGTCCTGGAGTGGCCCAGCCAGAGCCCAGACTTGAACCTGATTTAACATCTCTTGAAAGGTCTGCAAATGACTGTGCACCGGCGCTCCCCCATCCAACCTGATGGAGCTTGAGAGGTAGTGCAAAGAAGAAAAGAGAGAAATTGCCCAAAAATAGGTTTGTCAAGCTTGTAACATCATACTCAAAACAACTTAGGTCTGTAATTGGTGGTAAACTGCTTCAACAAAGTATTCAGCAAAGGCCGTGAATACTTATGTTCATGTGGTTTTTTTTTTTTTTTTTTTTTAATTTTAATAAATTGCAAATATTTCAAAACGAACTTCTTTCACGTTGTCATTATGGGGTATTGTTTGTAGAATGTTGAGGAAAAAAATTAATTTAATCCATTTTGGAATAAGGCTGTAACATAACAAAATGTGGCAAAAGTTAAGCGCTGTGAATACTTCCTGGATGCACTGAACACTTTAACAAATGTGGGGATGATCAATTTAAACAGGATAATGAAAACAAATATACAGTCATGGCCAAAAATATTGGCACCCCTGCATTTCTGTCAGATAATGCACCACTTCACCCAGAAAATTGTTGCAATTACAAATGTTTAGGCATTCTCATGTTTATTTCTTCCGTTTGTATTGGTATGACACAAAAAAAAGTGGAGAAACAAAAAAAACAAATCTGACACATTCCATGCAAAATCCCATACTACTTAAAAAAACAGTCTATACTACTTACATTGAGAGAAGAGTATATAACTCTATACTTTACTGCAAAACATGACATTATACTTGTACACCGCTTTCATATCTTAATAAAAATTTTAAGCAAGAACAAAAAAAAAAAAAAAAAAAAGGGATATGAGCTACTGCAAGCTAAGAGAATGCTCATATGAGGGTTTGAATCAGAGAGAAAGCCCACTCTTGTGATGGTGGAGGTAAGCAGTAATAGGTAGGATTCACTTAGCAACGTCCTAGCAACAGCCTACACCTATAGCAAGGACATTATTCAACTTTAACAAAAAATAAACTCTGCAACTCTGAATAATCTACAAACACCCTTACCTGCATAAGCAGTTTTTTTTTTTTTTTAATAAAGGTGAACTAACCCTTTATTTATAGAGCAAAACAAGCCTAAGTAGGTATGAGCGCTTCTGACATCACCACAATTTGCTTGTCAAATGACTGCACTCAGTGCTTTTTATGCAAAACACTTGACTTCCAGCGTAAAACAATCTGACTAGCAATTAAAAAAAAAAAAAAAGTCAGAGTAAGACTCCTATGAGGAATAAAATGAAAATGATATACAATTCTTTCCAAATCACAGTTTAAATATGTGTGTATGTGAGACAGATATAGATATTATCTATCTATCTATCTATCTATCTATCTATCTCTCTCTCTCACACACACTTCAGACAGTATTCAGACCCCCTTCTATTTTTTCAATTTTGTTATGCTGCAGCCTGATACTACAGTTGTTTAAATTCATTTTCTCACATTGATCTATACTCAGCAGCCTTAACGAGAAAACAAAAACAGACTTTTAGAAATGTCTGTGTAATTATTTAAAAAAACCCTGAAATATCACATTGGCATAAGTATTCAGACCCTCTGCAACAACACTTGAAATTTAGCTTAGGTGCCTCCCTTTTTCTTTTGATAGTTGCTGAAATGGTTCTATACCTTGATTGGTTTCCAACTGTGGTAAATTAAATTGATTGGACGTGATTTGGAAAGGCACCCACCTTTCTATAAAAGGCCTCACAGCTGACAATGCATACTTGTAATAGAGATGCTGGGTGCAATAACTAAAAACAAGTCATATACACGCACACAATCAACATGTACTGTAGTCATGCAGGTACCTTTTAATCAGCATTTAAACCATTACATATTCTACGCACGTGAAAGACCATCTACCAAATGAATACCTGCCCTGGCACATCATAGCATTCACCCGACACTCCAAGAAATAACAGAATCCAACTGCAATATTCTTGCACTGTCAAAACCTCCACTTTTATTATCACATGACACACAGGAGGATATATCTTATAGTCATCACAATTTGCATAACACCACACACCAATAAGAGTGTGAGCATTACAGCATGAAATAGACACATCATTTGACAGCGTCACAGCATAGAATTACCACATTACCAAAACTATGTAAGAAGCTGGGCGGAACAAATCCCATCAGAAACCAAACTGCCCAGGGGGTCATGGGGAAGCCGTAGGCGCGACCAGTCAATGAGCCCATATAGCCTTGGCAAAAATCCAAGCGTCATCTGGCCACTAAGGGGGGGCTTCTACTGTCTCGCCCAACCTCCGCCTTATAAACCAATTTTCTGGAAGCTGTCCAATAGTGGGCAGCGCCACACCCACCACAGGAGGAGCTAGCAGAAGGGATCCGCGAGGATAACAGAGTCACGTTCAACCACCTTATTCGTTATCTGAAAATTCACAGTTTTGCTTCTCATCTACCCTAAAACTTCTTCTCATCTACCCCAGACTTAAGGATTTCTAACTTAGACGTCTTTAAACAGGTTTTTATCTCCTAATGTGAGGTTACTAGATGTCATAAACACGTTTCATTCCATAAACAAGTTTTTATCTAGCTCTCAGCAGAATATCTTGTGACTCTAGAGAAATGACACATCAGTCACCTCTCATGCCTCTGGCATTTGGGCAACAATGATTTATTGTAGAAATTACACAAGAAACAAAGGGTCCAAGACCACACATTTCATAGGCATTACAATACTGTATCAGAAAAAATCCATGAGATCAAACAGTGCCTGCAGAGCTCAGAAGTAAGATTATTGCCTGGCACAGAACTGGTGAAGGCTACCAAAATGTTATGCTGCACTGAAGGTTCCCAAGAGCACAGTGGCCTCCATGATTCTCAAATGGAAGACGCTCAGCACAATCAGGACTCCCAAGAGCTAGTCACCCAGACAAAATTCCAGAAGGACAACCATCACTGCAGCCCTCCACTGATCTGGGCTTTATGGCAGAGTGGCTAGACAGTAGCCCTTCCTCAGTGCAAAACACATGAAAGCTTGCTTGGAATTTGCTATAGTTTTCCTTCTGGTACTTTGACTGAGCTCCAGAGAACCTTTGAGGAGATGGGACAGAGTGACCATTGAGTTTACCTTCCAACATGACACGATCCTAAGCACACTGCCAAGGCAACACAGGAATGGCTCAGGGGCAACTCTGTAAATGCACTTGACGGATTCTCAGACTGTGAGGAACAAGATTCTCTGGTCTGATGAAACCAAGACTGAACTCTGGCCTCAATTCTAAATGTTATGTCTGGAGGAAACCAAGCACCATTCACCACCTGCCCCATGCCATCCCAAGAGTGGAGCATAGTGGTGGCAGCATCCTGCTGTGGGGGGTGTTTTGTAGCAGTGACTGGGAGACTGGTCAGGGCGGAGGGTAAGATGAATGGAGCAAAAAACGAGATATCATCAATGAAAACCTGTTTCACAGCACTCAGGACCTCAGACTGGGCAGAAGGTTCACCTTCCAACATAAAAACAATCCTAAGCACACAGCCAAGACAACACAGGAATGACTTCGGGACAACTCTGTGAATGTCTGAGAGTGGCCCAGCCAGAGCCCCGACTTGAACATCTCTGGAGAGACCTGAAAATGGCTGTCTACCAACGGTGCCCATCAAACCTGACGGAGTTTGAGAGGATTTGCAAGGAAGAGCAGCAAACAAAATCCCCCAATCCAGCTGTGCAAAGGTTGTTGAATCATACCTCAAAAGACTCGAGGCTGTAATTGCTGCCAAAAGTGCTTCAACAAAGTAACGAGTAAAGAGTCTGAACACCTAAAAACGGAATTTCACCTTTTGGGTGAAGTTCCATTTTAAGTCCCCCCTCCCATATTTAGCATATAATGTTTGGGGCCTAGGTGATCTGGGCAGAAGTTCTCCTGCCCCCTTCCCTCCCCACAGTATTCTTGGACACATGACAGGACCCAGCAGACTGTAGGACCTTTCAAAAAGTGCAGCGTGGCTCACACACGTGCAGCCGGCTGTGAAGCTGGAAGCAGCATAGCCGACTGCCCACAGTTAGGATGCCGGTGCCAGGAACCAGAAGGCTAGTGAAGAACTAGCTCGGATGACAATGGTGCTGGATCCCAAGACATGTAAGTGTTATTTTATTAAAAGTTAGCAGCTACAGTGTTTGCAGCTGCTGACTTTTTATTTTATTTTATTTTTTTTTTTACAGGATGCTGTATTAGCTATGCTTTTCCATGACATGGAACTACACACCTTCTTGTGTAAACATTCATCCAGATAAGTGAGGCTTTTTATGGCAAATATACTAAGGTGTTCCACTCCAACAGTAAATATGTCCCTATAGCATAACTCTCAAAAATTCACTTACATTTCAGACAATGTAATTAACTGTGTACATGCATAGAGGATAAAACAATCTAGATACTACACAAAGAGCCAAATTAAAATTTTTGCACCTAAAAGTGCATACTTTTAATTTATTTACTCACGTTGAGGTCACACGCCGCTTAGTGTTATGTATTTCATACAGGCTAGATTTACAGGTGATATTACTTATTTAAAGTGTAACCAAAAGACAAATCTTTTTTTTATTAGTTTTGGATACAGTGGAGAGGGATTAGAAACCCTGTCATTTTTTATTGCTGTCTGTGCCTCCATTAGGTAAAGTCACACTCATTTTGTCCTGTTTACCGTTATCATCAAAAATGAAAGTAAAAGAAAATCCCAATCTTTCAATGGGGACAGTAGTTCCCTTATTTTGGAGGGATTTCCTGTCTTTGCTATGGGATACAAATGGCAAAAAAAAACTGAAAGGAGATATAACCCTCCCTCTTACTCTATACAAAATTAAAAAAAAATAAAATGTTTTGCCTTTAGTTACACTTTAAAGAAACCTGTGCTGAGATAAATAAATAGGGTGCCATTGCTGATACACATCTGAAAATGCCAGTTTCTTGGCTGTCTCTGGCTTTCACATTTTTTTTTAATCACTGACACTAACAAAATATGCAGCAAGTGAATTTTGGTTTCACGTCAGTGACTTAGAAAGTACTAAAGCCACATAGAAAAACTTTTCAAAAGAAAAAGGTACATTTATGAGACAGGTATAGAATTTGTTTAGGATGTACAGAATACAGACTTGAAATAGAATAACTAATTACACCATACTGTGGCACAATAAATATAAAACAGCAATTCCATAATATCCATACTTACAGGATCGGTAATCATAGCCCGCAGATGTGTGATGCCAGTGCCAGGAATGCCAAAATATTAAAGATGATCCCATTAATTACGCTATAAACAGCGTCCTTGGATGGAAGCAGCATAACGAAAATCACAACAAACTCAGCATAGAAAACCAGTAGCCAGGTCACCACGGCACATGCAATGCCGCAGCCATCCTTGATAAACCACACTTTAGCCATGGAGTTATCCACAGGTGGTGGGATGCACTTCTCTGGCTGGAGGTACTCTGCTGTCCTCTCAATGTCGCGGTAGCGGTGGCTTGGGGGCGACATGATAAGTTTTACATTCCATATTTTTTGCCTAAAAGAGATAGAGGCAATTGACATAAAATGAAGGGTGCATGAAAAGTTAACATAAATAATTTAAAACTTAGGCTATAGCTATGAATGGACACAACACAAACGCTTATCAATCTCTGCTCACTCTGTATGTGCATAAAACACATACATATTTACATTTATGTCATCCAATAAGCTGTACAGAAATATATACATTCACAATTGCAAGCCACAGATCAAATTTTAATTTACTTGATCTAAGCTTATGTTTAGGTTAGCATTTACTTTTACTTCATTATACTGCATCAGTCTCGTGACAATACGTTTTAGCTGTCCTTTGCCAAAGCAAAATTCATTTGGCGGCCAAATATAAAACAAAATGTATACTGGAGTTGTTGCCCACAGAAACCAAAGGCACCTGTCAGTCTCTGGCTTATAATAAAAGCTGGCATTGAATTGGTTTTGCTCTATTGCCATTTTGAATACACAGGGTGTGACACTTATACAATGTGCATAGCATTGCAATGGACTTTTTTGAGGGACATATAGATGAAAAGCACTACACACATGTATAAATAAACTTTATGATTTTATTTAATATCTCATAAAAAAAAAAGAAAACAGACATTGGTATAGGTCTATTTTTGGGTTCACACAATGTCTACATCCAAGATATCCACATGTAGACTCAAACCATTTCGAATGACCTTCCTGAGGAAAACATCTGAATAACCCAATTATTTTTTTTAACCACTTCCCGTCTGGTCTATCTACATAAACGGCCAGACGGGAGCAGTGCAGGAGCAGGTTGTGGTTCATAAACAGCGCCCACATTTACAGCCTGAGCGCGCTCCCTGGGAGCGTGCGGCACCACGATCCAGTGCCCAATCAGTGTACGAGTCCTCTGTGTGATTGGCCAATCAGTGATCACATGAATAGTAGTAAGCAAGATGTCACTTGCTGACATCACTACTTACTACTAGTGAAATCTGTGAATGATAACAGAGGTCACATGGTACAAGGCTATTCATTGTACCATGTGACAAGCTGTGACCAATCACAGCTCTCAGTATTTCTCAATGGCTGCAAGAATGCAGCCAGAGAGAAGGAGAAATTATTACTTTTACAGCCTTTACGGGTGTAAAAGCAATCAGTGCTAAAAAAAAAAAAAAAAAAGGGTCTTCATCACCCCCCACAAGTAGTACAGTGTCACTATGGTGACTCTGTACTGCTATTGTCTATTGTGACAGTATGTTAAAAAAAAAAAAAAAACAAAACAAAAAAAAAAAAAAAAAATTTATTATAATTTTTGGTTATAAACTAATTTGGGTTATTTTTTTTTTTACTAAAAAGATAGCTGAATACATTTTGGCCAAGATTTATGAAGAAAGATTATTTGCAAAATTTTATAAGAAAAACACTTTTTTTCAAAATTTTTGGACATTTTCATTTACCGTATTTTTCGCTCCATAAGACGCACCTAGGTTTTAGAGGCGAAAAACAAGAAAAAAAAAATATTCTGAACCAATGGACTGCAGACATAGTACAGGGGATGACCAGAGACTGCGGACACAGTACAGGAGATGACCAGAGACTGCGGACACAGTACAGGAGATGACCAGAGACTGCGGACACAGTACAGGAGATGACCAGAGACTGCGGACACAGTACAGGAGATGACCAGAGACTGCGGACACAGTACAGGAGATGACCAGAGACTGCGGACACAGTACAGGAAAATGACCAGAAACTGCGGACACAGTACAGATCACCAGAGACTGCGGACATAGTACAGGGAAAATACCAGGGACACAGTACAGATCACCAGAGACTGCAGACAGTGCAGGGGATGACCAGAGACTGCAGACAGTGCAGGGGATGACCAGAGACTGCGGGGAGACCAGAGACTGCGGACAGTGCAGGGGATGACCAGAGACTGCGGAGAGTGCAGGGATGACCAGAGACTGCGGAGAGTGCAGGGGATGACAATAGACTGCGGAGAGTGCAGGGAATGACCAGAGACTGCTGACCTTTGGGGAGGGAGGGGGAGCGGGTACCTGAATTTGACAGGTACCCGCTCCCACTTCCGCGGTGTTGTCCTTCCCTCTTCTTCCTGCGCCGGCTTCTGTGACAGCCGGGTGCCCACTGCACATACGCGAGAAGCGCTGCGCTTTGTGAAAGGCCCGGCGCCTTCTGGGACCTGTGTTGTGTCCCAGAAGACACCGCACCATTCACAAAGCGCAGCGCATGCGCAGTGGGCACCCGGCTGTCACAGAAGCCAGCGCGGGAAGACTGCAGCGCTGGAGCGAGGAACAGGTAAGGCCCTGCAGGAGAGAACAGCTGAGTGGCCGGCCCGGTATTCTGACATGGTGGCAGCAGAAATACCGGACCGGCCGCTTTATATTCGCTCCATAAGACACACTGACATTTTCCCCCCTTTTTTGGGGGGAAAAAAGTGCGTCTTATGGAGTGAAAAATACGGTATATAGCTAAAAAAAAATCCCAGTGGTGAATAAATACCACCAAAATAAAAAGTTTTATCAGTCTCAAAAAATGCTAAAAAATTCATATGGGTACAGTGTTGCATGACCGCGCAATTGTCATTCAAAGTGAGATAGCACTGAAAGCTGAAAATTGGCCTGGACTGGAAGGGGGTAAAAGTTTCCGGACTTAAAGTGGTTAAACAAATACATAGTCAGCTGGAATTAACACAGTGTAAAGCATCTTGTTCCAAAAGAGTGGTGCGAGGTGGGATGATAAAATAAAAGGACCACAATAGTCGGAAAACATCCAAAAATATTATACGGACATCATCAAAAGCCCACAGCCCTGTGCTGTGTGGAACAAGAATGTTTCCTCATTCTGTAGGTCCCCAGTATGAAAACAGGTCTCATCCATATTAGAGATTTTTCTGTCTTCCCCTGCTCCTTGAGGTATTTCAGTCAAAAGAGTACACAGGTCATCAAAATGTCTCAAACAATACCTGTAGAGTCCAGCAGCAGACTCATGTGAATGTGAAGCTTATAACTTTGTACTGCAGCTACTCATATGCATTGTGCAATGCACTGTAAATACCACATCTCACCAATACCCTTTTTCTTTTTTTTAACGTCATTGAAATGTCACAAAGTGACATTTCCTTCATCATGATTCACCGCAGCGGGTTGGTGTGAACTGAGCTAATGGGACATGAAGCAATTTTCCTTGTCTATATGTTGGGGCTGCACTGAGCAAGCCTGCCCATATTGATATGAATGGGCCCTAAAAACACAATTCATTAATACTCAACAACACCGGAGGTTTAAAGTCACACCCAGCCAAAAATTCTTTACTACAGATTTGCACAATCAAGTGACATATATTATTTTAACAAATAAGATTTACATAGAAAATGTTTCCAATACAGAATCTCCTACCTCAATCCATTCTGAGCCTCATGCTTTCAACTGCCGAGTGCTGACAGTTCAGAAAACAGACATATAGACATCCATAGCACAAATCCAGCGTTTTAAACATCAAAAACTGAACGGAAGAAAATTTAAAAAAAAAAAAAAGAACGACGAAAGATCACACCTGAAAGGTTCAAAAAAATCTCTTAAAGTCAGCGTGGAAGCAGGAAGAAAAGAGTTACTGACAACCAGGAAGCAAGCTATCGTTACATAAGAGTCAATTCCCTACCAACACCTGACCCAGCTCCTCCCAACATTCTCCTCCCACCTAAATGTATTGCCACACTATGAGAAAGACACCTGGATCTTCATTTGCATAGCACAAAGGTAAATGAAAAGACTGCATTATAGCTACAGAACAGTCTATTTGACATTGACTGAAGACTGTACAATTATCAGAAGTCTAATTGAGTAATCGTATGCCAGATGATCCCTTACAGTACCTGTATTTCCTGTATAGAAAATAAAACCTCCCCTGTGTATTCAGGAGTCACTTCTAAAACACACAGGAGAAGTTTTATTTGAAATACGTGAAATACAAGTACTGCAAGGTGTCTGCTGGTCAAAAAACAAAACAAAACAAAAAAAAAAAAACTTTTTGTTTGCCCAGCTCTCCTAGACGCCTTTCTTCCTGGCAGAGGCGTTTTGGGAGAAAAAAGTGTTGCCGCTTATAAACACGTGTAACATGTTTAGGAATGTCCAGCGCTTGGCCATTAACCACTTGCCCTCTGGAGGATTTACCCCCCTTAATGACCAGGCCTCTTTTTGCTACTCGGCGCAGCACTAATTCAACTGATAATTGCGCGGTCATGCAATGCAATGCACAAAAATTTACGTCCTTTTTTTCACACAAATAGAGATTTCTTTCGGTGGTATTTGATCACCTGTGCGCTTTTTATTTTTCACGCTATAAACAAACAAGACCGAAAATTTGGAAGAAAAACTATATTTTTTTACTTTCGGCTATAAAAAATATATAGTAAACTCAAAGTTAGTTATAAATTTAGACAAAAATGTATTTTGCTACATGTTCTTGGTAATAAAAATCCCAACAAGTGTATATTGATTGCTTTGTGTGGAAGTTATAGCGTCTACAAACTATGGTATAGATACTGCAATTTACGCCATTTTTTTTGCTATACAGCGCTGCACTAGTTTAACAGACAATTGCGCGGTCATGCAATACGGTACATAACTGAAATTGATGTCCTTTTTTGACACAAATAGAGCTTTCTTTTGGTGGTATTTGATCACCTGTGCGCTTTTTATTTTTGGCGCTATAAACAAAAAAAAGTTTGAGAAAAAAAAAACAATATTTTCTCATTTCTGTCATAAAAAATATAAAAAAAAAACCCCCAAAATTTCATCATAAATTTAGGCCAAAATGTATTCTGCTACATGTTTTTGGTTAAAAAAAATCCCAATAAGTGTATATTTATTGATTTGTGTGAAAGTTATAGCATCTACAAACTATGGGAAAGATAATGGAATTTACACAGCTTTTACTTTCTAACTGCTCATCACATTTCTTGAGGTGCTAAAATA